ATCCACTTTCTGTTTCTATGAATTTGCCTATCCTTGATGTTTCAAATAAGTGGAATTTTACAATACTTCTTGTTTGGTGTCTGACTTAATAATGTTTTCAAGTTTCATCCATGTTGAAGCATGTACCAAGAAGACATTACTTTGTATGACGAATATTCCTTAATGTGTGCACCTGCCACATTAAGATTCCAATTTCTCCCATCCTTCCTTGCCTTTTTCAGTTTTTGAAATTAAAAAAAAAAAATATATATATATATATACACACACACATATATACTTACTTATTTTCTAGAAAACTGGGATGTAGACCAGAAGTGCAGGGGGTGAGAGGATTCACCAGAGACAGAGTGGAGAGCACAGGAAGATCTACTGAAGTACTCTGCTGAGGGGAGCAGCGGGCGAGATAGGAGAGGTCTGCTGTGCCATGTGGGTCAGCTCCCTGGCTGGGGATCAAACTCAGAGCCTAGTGGTTATAATGCTGATGCTTAAGCCCTAGGCCACCAAATAGGTCTTCAGTTTTTGAAATTACCACCATCCTAGTAGATGTGAGAGAATATCTCAATGTGGTTTTGATTTGTGCTTCCGTAATGACTAATGATGTTGAGCATCTTTTCATGTGGTTATAGACCATTTATCTTTTTGGAGAAACGTTTATCAAGTCCTTTGCTCAGTTTTCAATTGAGTTGTCTTTTTGTTGTACCATTTAAAGGTTCTCTATATTTTCTAGATGTTATACCTATGTGATTTGCAAATTCTGTATGATAACTTGCCTATTCATTAAGATGTATCTGTACACCCCAAAGTCGACACAGCACTTTTGTGCTCACTAGGGCCCATGCACACAGGGGCAGGAATTTGCATTCCCAGCTGAGGTGACTAGAAGGGCTGAACCCTGCTGGCTCAGTCCTCACCTTGGAAGGACGCATCTTCAGGAAGTCTGTTTAGTGCCATATCTTTCTCTTTCTCTCTCTCTCCTTCCTTTCCTTCCTTCCTGTCTTTCTTTCAATATAATAGTTTATTTTTACATTGTTTTGTGCCTTTTTCCATCTCAGTTATAATCCCCATGGGCTTCCCATCACCAAATCACTCACGTGCCCTTACATACTTTTTATTTATTGGCAAGATAGTCATACAATATTTTTCATATTTGGGGCTTTTTGTTGGTGAAGGTTGTGAGGTGCTTGGTGGAGAACATAACTGCCAGGTAATTTCATTCAGGCATGAGATACAGTGCTGTTGACTGAATTCAGTGTGAACAAAACACCAGGAAAATTAAATAAATTAAATAAGGTGTCTTTCAACAGAAACACACATTTTAAAAGGTTAAGTATTGATCAACTGATAACAAGTGTCACTAGAATCTCCTAAGATCTTAACCTAGGAACATTTGTTCAGTATTCACTTATTTAGTGCTGGTGATGATTTTATAGAATATAACTATGTGAATAATAAGAAGTGAGTGTATTTTCTGTCCTCCTGTAGGTGATTTTTCACTTTATTGATAATGTCCTTTGAAGCACAATTTTAATTTTGATGAAGGCCAAGGTATCCACTTTTACTTTAGTAGTTTATGCTTTTGATGTGTATGTAAGAATCCATTGCCAAACCCAAGGTCATTATGATTTACTTTGTCTTTTAAAGGCTTTGTAATTTTAGTTCTTATATTTAGGACATTAATCCATTGTGAGTAAATTTTTTGTGGTATGAGGTAAGAGGTTCAATTTCATGCCCCTGCATGTGGCACTCCAGTTATGTAGGCACCATCTTTTGAAGAACTCTCTTACTCCATTGGCTATATATATGAAGGTTTATTTCTGGGTTCTCAGTTCTATTCTGTTGGTCTATATGTCTATGTCAGTATACCACACTGTTTTGATTATTGGAACTTTGTGTTAAGTTTTCAAATCATGAATCCCGTTTTCTGTTTTTCAAGATTTTTTTTGTCTATTTAGGGCCTCTCACAATTCCATATAAATTTGAAGGTTGGCATTTCCATTTATGCAAAAAAGAGTTGTTGCAAGTTTGCATTATTAACTATGGAGTTATTTTGAATCTATAGATTGCTTTGGGTAGTGTTGGCATCTTAACAATATTAAATATTCCTATCTATTAACATAGGATGTCTTTATATTTATTTAGCCTTTAATTTCTTTCAGCAATGCTTTCTAGTTTTTAATATGCAATTTTTTAACCTCCTTTATTTATAGGTCTGTTTTTTTTTGTTTGTTTGTTTGTTTGTGTTAGATGCAACTGTTAATGGAGCTGTCTTCTTAATTTCCTTTCTGGATTGTTCATTACTGGCATGTAGAAACACAGCTGATTTTTGCCTTTTTGATCTTACAATCTCCAACTTTGCTAAATTTATTTATTATCTCTAATAGATTTCTTATGGATTCTTTGGGATTTTCTATGGATAGAATTTTGTTATCTGTGAATGGGTGTAATTTTATTCCTTTCTAATTTGGATGTTTTTATTCATTGTCTGATTGCTCTGCTAGAGCTTCTAATATAGTAGTAATGAAAGAGGGCACCTTTGTCTAATTTCTGGTCATAATAGTAAACTTTCAGTCTTAGTATTAAATATGATGTAATCTGTGTGGTGTTTTTTTCCATAAAGGTCCCTTTCTCATGTTAAAGAATTTCTATTTAGGGTTTCTAACATTTTTTTTTTATCATGAAAGGCTATTGGGTTTTATAAAAACATTTTTCTGTATCAATTGAGATGATCAGATGGCTTCCCCCACTTTGTTCTATTAATATGCTGTACTACATTGATTTTTAAAAATATGTTGAACCACTCATATTCCTAGGATAAATATTACTTGTTTATAGTATATTATCCTTTTAAAATACTATTGGAGTTAGTTTGTTAACATTTTATTAAGTTTTTTACACTTATATTCATGGGGGATATTGGTCTGTAACTGTCTCACAGTTAAAATTTTTTTTTGTTTTGAGGTAACCTTGGTTTACAACACTGCATATGATTTAGACCTATGGATCACACCTTTCAGGTGTATTTGTTTTAAGACTTATTTATTTATGCATGTAGAACTGGGGTACAGGCCAGAGGTGCTGGAGGGTGAGCGGTTCACCAGAGACAGGAGGAAGCAGGGCAGGCATATAGATGAATTACACTGCTGAGGGGAGCAGCGGGTGAGTCAGGAGAGGTCTGCTGTGCTATGTGGATCACCTCGGGCGGGGATTGAATTAGTGCCGAAGAGGCTGTGGACAGCCTCACAGTGCTGTGCTTTAACCTGTTGCACAGCCAGGGAGAGCCCCAGGTATATGTTACTGCATCCACCTGCTACCAAGATACCTATGATAAATATCTCTTGAAATGTTTTCATATGGCTGATATCAGGGTAATGGTGTTCTCCTAGAACAAGTTCTGAAATGTTCCCCTGCTCTTCTCTTTTGAGGTGTTTGCAAAGGATTAGTGTTAATTCTGTCTAGTACTGTCATCTGTATATAAACTTTTTTGTTGAGAGGTTTTTAATTACTAATTCAATTTCTTACAGGTCTGTTGAGATTTTCTATTTCATCTTTTCAAAAAACTTATTTTTATTTATTTATGTATACAAGAACTGGAGTGTAGGCCAAGGAGGTAGAGTGGGAAAGTGTGTGTGAGAGAGGATTCACCAGAACAGATGGGGAGCATACCAGGTGGATCTCCTGAGATATACTGCTGAGGGAGCAGCACGTAAGACAGGAGAGGTCTGCTGCGCTATGTGGGTGAGTTCCTTGGCTGGGGATCAGCTCATGTATAGTAGTTTGATAGTGTTTTTTTTTATTTTAAAGATTTATTCATTTATTCACACAGAACTGGGGTATAGGTCAGAGGTGCAGAGGTGGTAAAAGGGTTTGCCAGAGTCAGTGGGAGCAGAACAGATAGACTGTCAAAGTACACTGCTGAGGAGAGCAGCCCACGGGTCAGGAGAGGTCTGCCGCACCATGTGGGTCACCTTCGGGCTGGGGATCAAACTCATGCTGAAGTGGCTTCAGCTTCTCAGTGCTGTGCTCTAACCACTGTGCCACCAGGGAGGGCCCTGATAGTGCTTTTAAACCTTGCGCCACCAGAGAGGTGCCTCTATTCTTGAGGCAGGTTAAATAATTTATATGTTTCTAAAAATTTGTCCATTGAGGTTCTTTATTTTTGTTCATACCATATTCTCTTATAATCTTTTTCTTATCTGAAGGTCAGATGTTCCCACTTTCATTTCTGATTTTAGTTATTTCTGTTTTCTTTGTCAGTCTAGCTAAAGGCTTGGCAACTGAAATGACCCATTGGAAAAAAAAAACAATTTTGAGGTTTATTGTTTTTCTTTTATTACTTTATCACCATTGGAATTTTTATTTTTTCCTTCCTTCTGCTAACTTTGTTTAGTTTGCACTTCTTTTTCTAGCTCTTCAAAGGGTAAAGTTAGGTCATAGGGCTAGTGGATGATATTGTCAACGATGAAAAAAAGGCATCTAAGAACTCAGCTCCCCTAGGGTCAGTATTTTTTTTTTAAAAAGATTTGTTCACACAGAACTGGAGTACAAGCCAGAGGCCCAGGGGCGGTGAGAGGCTTCACCACAGACAGAATGGGGAGCAGAACAGGCAGATCCACGAGGTGTACTGGGCGGTCGGGAGAGGTCTGTGGCGCCATGGGGGTCACCTCTGACACGAGGGATCGAACTCGCACTATAGCGGCTGCCGCTGCCAGCTTGCAATGCTGTGTGTCCTAACCCGTTGCGCCACCAGGGAGGGCCCGGTCAGTATATTCTGATGCATGTGTTCTGTCCATCTCCTGAAATGGAGAAGACAAATGATCCTCTGGTGAATTTGAGCTCAGTTCAACTATTACTCCCAACCTGCAGGAGGCCAAGTTATTTTTGGGCCCCTCCATCGACTACAAGTCCCAGAATGCCTCGCACTGGGCCTCGGCGGCCCAGCTCCTTCCGGGTTGGCACGCCTTGGGCGCCGCTCTAGGTGCCGCCTCGTCTCTATGCTCCTGCGGTGGGCGCGGGATGGAGTCCGGGTGCTGGTTGTTCGGCGGCGAGTTCGAGGACTCGGTGTTCGAAGAGCGGCCAGAGCGGCCGGCGGGCCCGCCCTCGTCGTACCACGCCAAGCGCTGCGAGCCTCAGGTGAGAGGGCCGGGCACCTCGCCCAGCCCAGGGCCCGGGTTGGCTCCCTGCCGACCCGTAACTTCGCGGCGCAGGCGACAGCAGCCCTGCGGGCTCACCCGGTGCCCACCCACGCGCCCGCTCCTCCCTTCCGCGGGCGGAGTGGGCGTTCCCTTGTTCCGACCGGATAGACCCGGTCCCCGCGGTCCCCAGGGGTACGGGCAGCCCCCGCTATCGATATCGGCGATCAGTACCTGGAGTCTGGCAGGTCTCCTGCTCGGACGATCGCGCGTCCCTTCTCTGACATCGTCAGTAACTCCCCTGCGCCTTCACTGATTGCGTGGACAGGCAGGCAGGACTCCAGAATTCCGGCCACAGCCCACTTTTCAAAGCTTAATGGTGTTTGCTACCCAAATGGTGACGGCCCCTTAGCACCCGATGGCTCCTACCTACCTGCGTTGACACCCGGCTGATGGTCAGAATCGTTTAATTATAGCTATGTAACCAGGCGCATCTTAAATGCTGCCTCTTTAAGGAAGTCTTTTCTGATTACACTCCCATTCCAGTGTTTTTGTCTCTGACCCCTTTTCATTTGTATTAAAGCACTTGTCAGTATCCCTTATAGCTCATGGAACCAGTGTGATGTGAGCACATAGGAGTGGTTCTTAACCTTATGCCCTAAACAGTGCCTAGCTATTACTAATAGCAAATCTGTGAATATTCTGAATTAGTAGAATATTGCTTTGCATTATTATCTGAGTACACTTTTTATCAGACTAATAATAGCTACTATTTATCAAAAACTTAGTTGTGTCAGGCACCCTGATGAGTTCCTTTACACATTTTCTCTCTCTTTTATTTTTTAAAGATTTATTTATTTATGCAGACAGAACTGGGGTACAGGCCAGAGGTGCAGGGGTGGTGACAGGATTCACCAGAGACAGAGTGGGGAGAACAGGCATATCACAAGGTTCCCTGCTGATGGGAGCAGCAGGCTGGTCAGGAGAGGTGTGTCCAGCCATGTGGATCTCCGCTGGGCAAGGGGATTGAACTTGCACTGAAGCAGCTGCAGCTGGCTTGCAGTGCTGAGCCTATCCCATGCGCCACCAGGGAGGGCCCTCATTTATTTCTTACAACCATTGCACTTATGTCAGGAGCTAATAACAGCTTAATTGTATTTTTGTTTTATTTCACTGGCATTTTCTCCTCATTGCAGTCAATCTTTCCGTTATGATTAGAACTTGATCATGTAGATTAAAACTAGGAATGGGCTTGGGAAGTCATGTGGCTAAGCATAAAGCCCTAGTTATGAGAGAAGACATTGGCATTCCAGCCTTGGCTTTTACTACCTCCCTTTCAAGATGTCAGTTCCTTACTTATTATTACGGGAAAAAGCCTTACTTGTTGGGTTGGGTTGCCAACTTATTGTGAAGTTGAAATGAGATCATTGTTGGTCAAGTGTGAAGTGTGTTGTGTTTTATACTTATAAAATACCCCCTCCCCCCCAGTTACATATCTTTAGAAATTGTTTGGTGAGTGACGCTGCTTATAAGTTCAGAGAGGCCTTATTCAAGTCAGGTGGTGTCATAGCTATTGGTTGATCTCGTAGGATTTCTGCTGTCTTCTCCTGCTCAGATGCAGTGTGGAGCCAGCTGTTTGCCTTATCCACATGCTTAGCCTCTTAGTCCTACAGCGCTTCTTTCCTTCCTCTTAACAGAAAGGGGTATTTGAAGCCTCTCATTACCTGCTGGTTCTGTGGGGAAATAAAATAAATCATTTGAAAACTAATTTTGCTTGATGGTTTCCTAGTAGGATAATGAAAATTTGAGGGGTGTCTGCAGGCCTGCTGCTGGGGTTGACGCAGTATGTGGCTGGAGAGCATGGAGCATGGGTGTGGCCTTTCTGAGGTAGACAGTTCAAGGGAGGACAGAGCCAGTGGCCACTGGCTTCCTCCACTGCGATGGCGAGACTGTACACTAAGATGACAGGCATCTTTTAGAAACAGAAGCAAACAATTTTGACAAGATAGTGGGACTGTCCCAAATGTAGATACAGTCTAAACAATAGCACTTAACTGGGGGTAAACTTTTTCCAGTCTCAGTGTGCTTTACTATGAGTAAAAGGGAGGGTGAGAAACTTCTTTGGAGCTGGAAAATCTGACATATGGCATGCTTTTTGTCACACCTGTTTTGTCATCTCAACATTCCTTTACTCAGTAATTAGGAAAGCTCCATCTCATTTTGTTTTCTATCCATAGCGTTTAAATCAGGAGAAAAGGGAGTAAAATATACCACACGAGCATTTCCTCAGATTTTTCTCCAACCGGTCTTTTGGCATTTGATAGCACGGAATCCCCGCTCAGCTTGTGTTTCTCTCTCCACGATGCTTAGTTGTGCTTTCTGCCTTCACAGCATTCTCAGAACAGCGCAGTACCGACGATACCGCTTTTATGTCCGTTCCATAAAGGGTTGTCAACCCCTTTCCATCCGCTCTAAACCTTCTCTACAGGGAAACACCTATCATTCTAAGGGACCAGTGTGAGCTGCGCTCACTCGCGTGGCTGGCAGTGGTTCCCAGGCACCACTGCCCTGTACTGAGCACGATGGCGCTAAAAACCATCCATGTTTGATTTCTTTTTTTTTAATTGAGAAGCGTCATATTTTTGGTATGTTTGTTGTGATGATTTTAGTAAAAACTGAATGGCACTTAAATGGCCGTGCTTTGTCAGATGTTGTCCTGAGTCTCATCTTGAAGATATCTTATTTTTTGAGGTTTAATCAATTATATATGGGAAATTGCGTTTGAATATGAGGCAGAAAAGCACAGCTTCTTTCTCTATAATCTGCTATTTTCACAATTTCTAGTGGTTTGATGAAGAAACAGAGAGCAGTGATGATGTGGAAGCTCTCACTATCAAGAAATTCAAAGGGGACCTTGCCTACAAACGACGCGAATATCAGGTAGAAGTCAGCAGCTATGAGATTGGTACTGAAACGGGCCCAATATTTTATATATTTGCTTAATATGTAAAATATGTTATAATAACTTACTTTATTTCTTATAGTAAATGTACAATAATTTATAATAATATGTTAAAATAAAAACATATTTCGATATTATATATATATATTTTGAAATAAAACAAAATTCTTAGACCCTCCTAGTGACGCAGTGGGTTAAAGCTCAGTGCTGTGAAGCGATCTGCAGCCTTTGCAGCAGGAGTTGGATCCCCGGCCAGGGAGGTGACCTGCATGGCGCAGCTGACCTCTCCTGACCCGTCTGCTGCTCCCTTCAGCAGCGTATTTCAGTCAGTCCACCTGTTCTGCTCCCTGCTCTGTCTCCCTTCCCCGCACCTCTGGCCTGTACCCCGGTTCTTGTATGCATAAATAAATAACTCTTTAAAAAAAAACCCAAAATTCTCATTTTATTTCAAAACTAAAATATGTATTTATATATATATTTCATATATAGTGTATATATACTGTGTATATGCTATGTAAACATATATACACACACAAACACTATATATGTATAGATAGCAGTGTATTAAGTTAGGAGTGGCTGTTTATGAAGATGAATTACTCTTTTGTGGATGTTAGAGTCCTAGGTTTCTGTCCTTTTCTCTTTGTTTCCATCTAATTTGCTTTGTTTCCTATAATTCCAACACTGGGATTTTGTGGGTCTGTTTCTCCAACTTCTGTATCCTTGTTATGTGCTAGCAAGCACAGGTACTTCATAATGCTACAGGAGCAAAGCACCCCAAAATGTGTGAGGAAAGGGGGAACCCTAACAGATACAAGTTGCTTTTCACATAGGTCTCATTTCATCTTCACCACAGTTCTGTTGTTCTGCTGCCAAAAAGGTTACACAGTAAGTTAATGCAAAACTAGGATTCGAACCTGGGTCTGCTGGAATCAGCACACTTCCTGCTATGCTGTGATGTCTTTTTTTTTTTTAAGATTTATTTATTTTTTTATGCATACTGAACTGAGGTAGAGACCAGAGGTGCAGGAGGGTGAGAGGATTCACCAGAGACAGAACGGGGAGCAAAACAGGCAGATTGACTGAAATCCACTCCTGAGGGGAGCAGCGGGTGAGACAGGAGAGGTCTGCTGCGCCACGTGGGTCAGCTTCCTGGCCGGGGATTGAATTCAAGCTGCAGTGGCTGCAGATAGCTCCATAGTGCTGTGCTTGAACCTGTTGCGCCATCAGGGAGGGTCCATGTGGTGACGCCTTCTGTGGGTGTAGCAGTAATATTCCCCAGCTGCTTCTCTATCCTCTAGAAAAGCAGCACTGACTGAAATGTGCAAGTCGTGCTTAATTCATGGTCGGGTGAGTTACCACCTCATCTATGTGTACGGAAAAAATCAAGCCTATAACAATTCCTTTCTCTGTTGTTTTCTACCATTCTTACTTCCCTTCTCTTTATTTCCTTTACTACTGGCCAGAAAGCACTGCAGGAATATTCCAGTATCTCTGAAAAATTGCCGTCGAACAATTTTGCCATGAAAAGGGATGTCCAAGAAGGCCAGGCCCGGTGTCTTGTTCACCTGGGAAGGCCGGCAGAGGCGCTGGAGATCGCTACAAACCTGGTGAGTGGTTTCACCGCTTTATTTTTTTGTTTTCCTATACCAAGGATGGCTGAATAGTATATTTTCCAAACAAAACAAACGTTTTCCTAGTAGCAAATGCTTCAGGTTTGGGGAAGCAGAAAATTGTCAGCAGTGTAAGAACTTTGTTCTGATGAATAATTTGGAGTTCTGAGTCATAATCACTTACTCAACTTTTTCTTTTGTTTTTGCTGTTTTGTGCTTAATATTTTTCGCTGCCTGAAAGTCTCATTTGTAAAGATTTATTCTGGTTAGGAATAGATAATCTGAGTGGAAGGCTTATCAGCGATCTGTTTTCTGCTTTAGAATTTCTTTTAGATTTTATTTTCTGGAGTTGCTACAGTGAACATTTTACTTTTGAAAAACAGACAAAAAGTTACCCTAAAACAACTGATCCCTTACTAAGCCACACTTAGTAGTCATTTTTATTTTCATTTACTTTGAAATCTGCAGCACCTCGTGAAGTTGCAGGTGGCCCTTGTGCCAGGGCCATGCTAATCTCTGTATCGTTCCTATTTAGTTATGTGCTCCTGGAGCGGGTCCTTTTTCATTTTCATTTTTAAAAAATATTTATTTATTTATGCATACAAGAGCTGGAGTGCAGGCCAGAGGTGCAGGGGGTGAGCGGATTCACCAGAGACAGAGCGGGGAGCAGGACAGGCAGAGGTACTGTGGTCTGCTGCGCCGTATGGGTCAGCTCCCTGGCCAGGATTGAACACAGCTGTGGTGGCTGAGGACAGCTTCATAGCACTGAACTTTAACCCGTTGTGCCAGCAGGGAGGCTCCTCACTTTCATTTTTAAATGGAATTTGCAGAATCTTTTTAAAGGCAGTTCTTTGCGATTCTAGATTCTGCTTGATTTTGTTGCCAGAATAAGGCATTTTTGGTTTACTTCTATGACTTCTGGCTTAATTTTTTTGTGGGGATTGGTCACAGTTGAGCAATCCTAGTCTATAAAATGATCAGTTTTCTCCCTTGAGGAATGAATGAGGGTTGAGGCACTGATCTTGAGCCCAGGGGAGCTGGTCCCACCTCAGCTTAAATTATTCAGGCGGCTGAGCTGCCTGAGCGCCTCCATCTTCTTCACTAAGAGAAGCCGACATTTGCTTGCCAAGGGGTTCACTGCTTAGTACTCCAGCCGCTTGCCGGGAGAGGAAACTTTGGCAGTGATTTTTAAGAGCATGGACAACAGCTGTATTTGTTTTTTCTCTTTCTCCTCTCTCCTGATTACCGATTAGCCTCAAGCTAGAACATAAGGTAACCTTAGTGAAGGGGCCTTGGCACGAACGGGGGTGTCACAGCTCACCCTGTGCGCTGCTCCGCGATCCCCTGCAGCTGTGGCCCTTTGAGTGCCTTTTTCCGGAGCTCAGTTGCCGTCTTGGCTTCTGTTCTCTCCCATGGCCTCTCTTCACCTCACATGTCTCCCACCCGCCAGTGCTCTCTGTCCTCCCTGCCGCGACCACCGCAGGCAGGGCAGCCGACTGCATGGCAGGGCCCGGGAGCTCTGGTTTCTTCTGGCCCTTTCTGTCGTCGTTCGCAGATGCCAGGTCTCCAGCGTGGGGTGGTTACCAGGGAGGAGGAAGCCAGTCAGAAGCCCACCGTCTCCGTGGGCCTCTGGCTCCCTGTGGGGAAGGAACGGGCAGGGAGGCTTGTGGGGCTCACCCCTGTCTTTGGGGCTCTTCACGTGGTCCCATGGGCCATGCCTCTCCGCGTGTTTGCCCATTTCCTGGTGCTGAGTTTTGTTTTGTTTCATGAGTTTTGTTTCCTCATTTCCCCCTACTCGTGGACCCTCTTCCGTTGCTTGCTCTGGCCATTTCTGGTGTTTGTCTCAGGGTGTTAGCCACTTAGGTTTGTAGGGGTGCAGGTCTGTGAGCCACGCTGAGCGAAATAGGCAGCTGGTCCCGGAGTCTGAACATTTTATGCTCACAGTTTCTTCTGAAGTTGGCTCAACTCTCCTCGAAGTGATTTTTGGGTGAAGTTTATTTATTTTTAAAGATGTCTTTATGCATACAAGAACTGGGGTATAAGCCAGGGGTGCAGGGGAGGGGCGCGAGAGGGTTCACCAGGGACAGAGTGGGGAGCAGAACAAGCCAGCTAACGAAGTCCACTGCTGAGGGGAGCAGCGGCGAGCCAGGAGAGGTCTGCCGCGGCCTGTGTCAGCTCCCTGGCTGAGGATTGAACTTGTGCTGAAGCGGCTGCAGCTCGCTTGCAGTGCTGTGTTTTAACCTGTTGCATCACCAGTGAGGGCCCTTGGGTGAAATTTATAATAGAATTATTTCTTAAATAATTTAAACATCCTCTGAGAGTGGCAGATAAGTGATAAAAGTTTTTGTGATAAACTTAACTGTGGAAGGAAAACTACTTCCCGACCATTAGTGATTTTTGGTCTTTTATGCTCTTCACAAATAGTTATTTTAGTCCTGCCATGTTCCTAGTTCAGGGCTCAAAGCCAAGGAGACAGGTGAACGGCCTCCATGCTCTGCACGCACCTAGTGTCTAGCGGGGTGCCTGGACCCTGTCAGGTGTCGGCTGTCTACGAGCCGGTGCTGTGACCGCCAGCTCTGCCCCCCACCATCGTGTGACTTAGGCGCCTTGCCCAGCCCCCTGAGTCAGTGGCCTCATTTATACCGGGGGCCGCCCACACCCACACTGGCCATTGCAGAGGGCTCCCATGTGGATGAAAGGAGTAAAGCACTTGGACTAGCACCTGACTCTGCTCAGTGCCCAGCGAATGTCAAGTGGCCTCATCTTCGCCGTACAGGAGGAGTTGCGATTTTCTAGGGAAAAAAAAAAGTGGAATTTAATTTCCAGAGCTGTTCAGGGGACATGCTTTCAAAACCCTCACATCAAAACCACAGCTTGATGTCACAACCTCCACCCCAGCACACACTTGCTTCTTAACATAAAAGTGTTTTTAAACACTGGAAAGCACTAAAGACTGGGGAGAGGAGAAAGGTAGGCTTGTCAAATGTCTGTACTTGTTGCTTTATTTTAAATAAAAGACAAGAAACTGTATTCTTCTAGCTACTACACATCATTTATGCCCAGGTGTACTGGGAACTCCGCATTCCACAGAGAGCCTTACGGAGCTTGGAGTGCAGGCAGGTGGTCGGGCAGAGCAGGCCACGAGGCCCCAGAGCCCTCAGTGGCTGTTCCAGGCCCTCGTGATCTTTCTACCCCATTGTAGTGCAGCAGCCAGACGCAGGGCGGGCAGGAGGCCCGATCTTTACTCTGACTTTCTCTCATGGTCTCTCCACCGCATGCTCTGCGCGCTCCCTGAGCAGGGCGCTGCCCTGATATGCCTGGCCTAGGCACAGGTGTGCCCATCACGCACGCCCCCACCATGCCTCAGGCGTCCACCGTCAGGCATGTTGTACCCCGAGCCACGCTGCCAAGCGCCTGCTGCCTTCACTCACCATCTGAATATGTAGGCTCCTCCACAGGCTCCCACATCTCCCTGCCAGGCAGGTAGTTTTACTTGTTTTCTTCTTGGTGGAGTTCTGTGTGGGAGCTTGATCTGGATCCTAGCAGGCCAGTTCTTCCTTAGACTTAAAAAGTCAACTGAAAGATGATTTTAGTTTGTCATCTGCTCTCCACAGACTTTAACTTAGGAAAAGAAGGCTGTTTTCCCTCCTCCACCAGGCTCTTGCCATATGGCAAGTTAGGCAAGAGGTGGTGGAAAAGATTTTTCTGATCAGAAAGAAACCAAGCAGCTCCCTCTGGCCAAAAACAATTGGCCTTGGTACGCGTTACCAGGGGAGACATTTGGATTCAATTATGCTGCATCGTGAAACAGAGCTGCAGGCCTGTCTTGTCTAAGTCAAGTAAAACGTGCGCGTAGGGAACGTTTGGATCCTCAAGGAAATTTCAGTTTAGATTTTTAGAAAAGCCTGGAAGACTAAGATGGAACCATTAGCCCAGGGTATCAAAAAGTTGACTTGAGGCTTTCAGCGGAAGATAATAAAGACTGTTAAAATTTGAAAATAAATCATCATTCATGTTTTTGGTGAGCTTTTCTAGACCGTTGTCTTCTGAGTTATGTTGGGACATGAGGATGGCTGGGAACGGCGGGTGATTTTTTTGCCGGGTGATGGTTACGGTTTCCATCGAAGAGCTATTGAAAAATACCAAGTGCATGCAACTTAGATGTGGCTGAAAGATACTTCTGATTTATAACATGCACAATCTGGGCTTCCAGGCACCATCATTTTCACAAGGGAAATGTTGGGCCATTCAGAGTTCTTACCCTTGTTTTCCTCCTCAGGAAAGCAGAGCGACCAACACCGACCACCTGACCACCGTGCTCTACCTCCAGATTGCTATTTGTTCAAGTTTGCAAAACTTGGAGGAGGCAATTTTCTGCCTACAGAAACTCATTTCTTTGCATCCTTTCAATCCTTGGAGCTGGGGCCGGTTGGCAGAGGCGTACCTGAAGCTGGGGCTGGTGCCGTCGGGTCCCTTTGCGTCGTCTCAGGACAGTTTTGCCTGCAGTGACAGAAGTATCGAGTCCTCCTGTCCACACTCAGGAAAAGACTGGCCTTCGTGTCCCCCTGAGACATTGCTTGCAAGCTCTGTGTTCTCTGTGGAAGCAAGCAGCAGGCATAACGAGAAGGACGAGAAAGCTCTTAGAAGCACTCGGAGCGGCGTGGCCACGAAGGGGGAAGCGTTGGTGTGGGAGACGCAAGTGAAAGCGTGCGCCTCGTTTACTCGGGCCAGGTAAGTGCGGAAGGTCTCACTGACCTCACCTTGGGGGTTTTCAAACTTGGAAAGTTGCAGGCTGGACACTTGGCATTTGTTTTTCAGATTTTTTTCTGTGGTCTCCATGGAATCCTTTGTGCCCTTTGGTATGTGAGAGTTGGACACAATCTATATTTGCTCAGAATACACTGGTATCATTGACCTAGATACAGTGTTAAAGTTGGAAAACATTACAGCTAGCAAAAGAAAATTCACTGTGTAAAACACTGACAGAGAGAGGAAGCAGTAGTTTAAACATGGAGTTTTTCACTCCTGTGGTCCACAGAAAATCCACTCAAGAAAAATAACTTTTGGTTTGAATCACTCAAAAGGTGAATAAGTGAATGATGCTTAATTCACTTTATAAGAACCCCCAAAATATAGGATTTCCAAACACTTTGAACCTATATCATGTGAAAGTTCAAGGGAAAGGTGAGACCATTAATTTCTGTAATTTGTGATGAAGTCCCTTAGGACTCAAGTGATGCCACAGTTTAAAAAAAGGATTTTTTTCAACTCTTTGAGAGTTAAAAGATTTTTTTTTATTAACTTTGGAGGATTTAAGAAAGCTTGATTAACAGTAAAGCTTGCTGAGAAGTTCGGCATCTGTTAGGCAGATTTTAAACTTTGTTGGCTGGTGTTTATTAGGCACTGACTTTGTCACTTTAATTCATAAGTACATCGAATAACTGTGCCAGGACATACTGCTTGCAAAGATCATAAAAAGCGCCCCTTTGCTGACATTAACCAGGGTCGAGGACAGTCTTGGTGTGGTCAGGAGCTGGCACTACGCGGCGTATTGGGTGTGGCGCTGTGTGGCGAGGCAGGAAGAAGCCCGGGGAGCAGTCAGTGCCAATGCGGGGATCCTGGGGCGGGTCCTGGAGAGACTGCAGCGGGCTGTCCTAGAGAAGCATGTGCCAGCTTTGTCTACATTTCACGTTGGCCTTCCTCGCTCTAGGGTGGCATCATCCCCAGAGTGGCATGGCCAAAAGGTGCTGCCAGGTGCGGGCCCAGGTCTCTGACTCCAGAACACGCGTTCTCTCTGGCGTCTTGCCGAGGCCACAGGATCTTCCCCAAGTGCCCAGTGCTGCCAGGGGCTGGGTCTGGTGCAGCCGGAGCAGCCCCGGGAGCTGGGGGTATTGCGGGGGGCAGGGAGGCTGCAGCCCACGAGGCCAGGGCAGTTGGGAAGTAGGAGGCAGGACTTGGAGTCAGCTCCCTACGGCGCCTGATAAATTGCTCTCGTGGACCTGTCGCACCAGCAGGGCCTCGAGCAGCTTCTCCATGACCCGGGCAGGCCCGGAAAGGAGGCCTGGAGCCCGTGGCCTCTTCAGGCTTTAAAGTCCATTCTGCACCCCCTGTCGTGAGCAGCCAGCGCAGGGCAGGGGCCGGGCAGGCAGGGAGGCGACTCGTCACTCTTCCCGGGCTCTCTGGCGTTCCCAGTTCTCTCCTCTCCACTGGTCTCCATGCTCTGTGCTCTGCTGCCTTGCTCTGTTCTCGGCTCTGGTGCGGCCACTCCGCACGCCTACCTATGTGCAGGTGCCAGGCGCACAGGTAAGAGTGCCGGTGTCGGTCACAGACGCTAATGGCAGGAGGGCAGAAACATCCTCATCACTTCCACTTACCCTGCAGGAGCGAATGAGTCTGGACTGGTCTGTTTGCCGGCTGTGTGTCCTTCCCACAAATTACTTGAGCTCTCTGAGCGTCACATGCAGAATTAGGGGAAATGCCTACCCACGCGAGCCGTGGTGAGGATTAAAGTATGTGCAGCTCTTATTCTAATGTGCAGTGTGCTTGGTAAATGTTAGCTTTTAGTACTTCTGTGGTTTTAGTTTTTATTAGCACAAAACGTTAAATGTCACCTGAAAGAGCTTGGTTCTTATGCTGAAGGCCTGAGGTATTTGAAGGTTTGTGATGTGAAGTGGTGTGATGAGAAGCTGGGATTTCTAGAGAGACCCGGTGGCCAGGAGAAGGTGTGAGGAGGTTGGCACTGGGGACGCCAGAGATGAGGCTGTGGGCTGGTGGGTAGGCGGTGCTGAGGCCCTGAAGAAGGACAGGGCAGTGGGATGAAAAGAAGAACCAGGTGTCACTGCAGGAGGGACAAACGGGAGATGGTGGGAGTGTGTGGGGCAGAGGGGACCGGAAAACCCCGAGACCCTGCGCTGGGAGGGTGGTGGTGTCCTCACCATCTCAGGGAGCAGGGGCAGAGCAGACTTGGGGTGGAGGTAGTGATCTGGGGTCCTCCTGCTGAGGCCAGCTGCCTGCCTGACATCCAGCTGGGGCTACCCATGGCTGCAGGGGTTGGGCTCAGAGGAGGGGAGTGAGGGATTGAAGAGTTCCAGAAGAGAGTTCAGCAGTGAGATGCTAACGGGGACTCAGCTAGGGCTAAGTCTTTGCAGCGCACTTGGAAGCTGTGTGCAAGGTAAATGAAGCTGGTCAGGCTTTTAAGCCATTGGCCTTTGGCCATCACCTGCAGCCTTGATCTCAGTAACGGGCGCGTGCCTGACAACACCTGCGCGTGGGTGCATGCATGTGCAAGTGTGCACAGCTGTCCTAGGCGGGAGGGGCGCATGGGGCCGCCTGGCCCTCAGGAAGGGGGCTCAGTTGCTGTCTCCCTGCTGGCTGGTTCCCTGTCACCATTCAGCCCTGTGACATGATGCCACGGGCTCCAAAATCTTTCAAATTCGAAGAACTGACGGTGAACCTGCCCGGCCTGGGGTGGTCGCACAACACCACAGAGTTGTTGATCTACGAGAGGTCTATCCAGTAGTGATGGGTAATGAGGCAGGTTGCAGAGGGTGGAGGAGCAAGTGGACATGAGATGAGCAGTATTTTTCAAGTCGTTTCAGGAGCCTGAGGGAGAAGGCAAGTACTGTAAAGGGGCCGGAGATGTCACTGCTTCTAGAGGCCACGCAGGCGCTGGGAGCAGGTTGGGGAGACGGCCGGTGACCTCTCCATGGGAATCGAGCACGATTTAGGAGGCTCAGCAGCTGCTTTGCGCTCCAGCAAGTCCACATTTCTCTCCCTGGCTCTCAGGCCCCATGTGAGTCGGCCCCACTTTGCCTCATTTACTACAGAGTTTTCTCCCCGGCTGTGTTCTGGCGTCATGGTTTTCAAACACAGCAAGCAAGTTCATGGGTTGAACCTCCTCCCTCCTCCAGGGCTCTCCTCCCGTGTATTCTTGGGCTGGCTCCTCACCAGTCAGGCCTCCACGCCAGTGGAATCCCAGAGAAGCCTCCGTCACTGTCCCACCCCAGGAGACACTTGCCTGGCTTGTGTTGGGTTTCGCTTGTAGCACTTGTCTCTACCTGCAGTTATCATACTGGGGATCTCCTATTCCACGAAGCCTGTTCTGCTTGCCAGCCTCTGCCCCACCTAGCGTGGTGCCTGAGAGGGAGGCGTGACGGGTGCTCCCGCACAGCAGCAGGGACCGGGCGGCCTGAGGGAGACTGGGAAGATGTCCACGCTCAGTAGCTTAAAAAGCCACAGGGATGTGGAAGATAAAGAAGCATAACAGATGGACAAACAAACAGATTCAGAACAGATTTGTGTTTCCAGCAGGGAATGGGGCTAGGGGGTGGGTGAAGAGAATAAAGAGGTCAGGTCATTTATGTGGTGATGGCTGGAAACTGGACTTCCGGAGGTGGTCACGCCCTAGTGTGTCCACATGTCGTTACAGCAAGTTACACCCTTGAAGCTTTTGCACCAACCTTCCATTATTGCCTAGTGAAGGTGGGAAGCATGTGAGAAGGACAGGTAGGAGGAAAGAGACAGCTGTGATCATGAGGAGGAAGTGAGTGGAGAGGCACTTGCGAAGCGGTCACGGGGTCCTCACAGATGTGGCCCCAGGCCACTGGGTCCTCACAGATGTGGCCCCGGGCCACGGGGTCCTCACAGATGTGGCCCCGGGTCACGGGGTCTTCACAGATGTGGCCCCGGGTCACCGGGTCCTCACAGATGTGGCCCTGTTTCGGGGGATGTCGCCAGGCAGTCTGAAGAGGCCCTGAGGCCAAGTGCGAGAGTCAAGAGAGAGACAGCACCGATCTCCGGCACTTCTGGGGAGGAGTCTGTGACTGGGAGTTTGCTCTTCTCTGCTCTTGCTTTCCATCACCTGACTTCTGCAGGAGGCTCCTGGAAAGCAGGAAGCCCTTTTGAGGTCTTGCTCTCTAAGATTTCTTCGAGAAACTCCACAGTCTGTTAACTTAAGCAGCGATGCCTCTCCAGTGTAAAGTGGGGCAATTTGGAATTCACAGGAGCAGCATGTCTGGGTGGCCAGGTGGGGTGGCGTCGGCCGAACACACCTGAGATTGTCTCCACACCTCTGTCCTTTATTCGGGGCCTACATGGGCACGCCTCTGTTTTTCAGACTTTTGCTTCAGCTCAGCCAGTCTCAGCAAACATCCTTTGCTTTGGAGAGGAACTTAAGGACTCAGCAGGAAATTGAAGATAAAATGAAAGCGTTCAGCTTCAAAGAAGATGCTTTGCAGTTGATAGCTGAGGTGAGTGCGTCCCCCAGGTTTATGTGAAATGAGGCCTTGTAGACGTTGTTGTTGGCTCCAGTGCCACTATTTTTTTTAAAAAATAGGCCAGATCTCATGATCTGAAGGACTTCTGTCTCTCTCCCTCACGTGCCTTTTGATCACTTAATCCCCCCAAGGGGCCTCCATCACCTCCCTCTGGCAGGGGGGCTGGAAGCCAGGAGCTGACATTGCTTCGCTTGTTGGAGCTCGTCTGGACCGGCTGAGCCGTGCAGAGTTGTTCTCTGGGTGCTGGCTGAAAGACGGACCGTCTCTTTCATCTTTTCCCTCTGTTTGTCTCCACAACCACCTGGGGGACAGGCAGAGCTGGGGTGGGGGCCCAGAGAGGGGTGACTTGCCTCAGGTCAGATGTTAAGTGGCAGGGCCAGGCTGGAACCGGTTTCCAGCCACAAATCCATTTCCTTCTCTGCCCTGTCACTACATGGATGGCTTCAGGGAACTTCAAATGTCAGAGGTTTTACTAGCTTTTTAAAAAACATGCTGTTGAAATTTCTTTAAGATGGCCCTGGAGATTAGGCACGTATTTCAGCTGCTCGTGCTTGTTCCTGTTAGCAGGTCATTGGAACTTGACAGCCCAGGTCTTTCTCGTGAGAAGAGCTCTCTGTGAGTGTCTGTCCTCACCTTTCCTTCGGGAAGCGCTTTGCTCCTTCAGGATGGCCAGGCTCTGACTCTCCTCTGGGCCCCTTCCCCTCTCTTGGGGCCACCCACTCTTTCCTGGGTGCCTTTTGCACACTTGACAACTTATCTCAGTTTGTTGGGCTCGGCTGGTGGGCTGGTGGCTCTCTACCCAGGTGATGCCCATGGCCAGCTGCCCTGGCAGACCCGCCATCTTCCCCTCGGGCCTCTGGGAGACAGTCAGCAGATGTTCGGAACTTACTTTACGAAATCAGCGTGTGCGCTTGTCAATTCCAGAACAGCTATCAGAAATGGGATCCCTGAGTCTGTGGGCACTGTATTTTTCAGTGAATGGACATTGTAAAGCCTTGAAAGACCTTTCCAAATTGTCACTCAGAAAGACTGCCCCGCCCTGTGCCCCGAGAGTCTGACAACACTGGGTCTCCCACTCCGGGTTCTGGATTACCTTGAACCACGTGAAATTGTCAACATCCAGTCATTCTGGTCTGTAATGACAGTAACTTTACAGTAACCAACATAATGTTATTACTTTTTGAAATCTGCAGCTTGGTTGGTTGAAGTGCCACTTTAGCATTGCTGTTTGTGGGTTGCTATTAAGATGGATATTTTTTGGTATGTTCATTGGCCGTTTATATTTTGTGAAATCCCTAGGCATGCGTTTTCTTCACTATCCTATTGGTATGTGTCTGTTTTTCTTATTAATTTTTGAGAGATTCATCTATATTAGAATTATTCATCTTTTCTATGTTAAAATATTTTCTGGAGTTTATGGCATTTTTTGAAATATTTACATTATCAAAAATTTTTGCAGATTTTTTGATACCTGTGACTCTGTACTTGCTTATTCCTCTTGTTGAATACTGCTTTGTTTGGATATTAATATTATTCCATTTAAAAAAATTTAAAAACAACTTTTGGGGTGTTATATCCCAGACTTTTTACTAAAGTAGGACATCATCAATAAGGCATCACTATTTGATGAGCCACTAAAAGAAGAATAAGATGCCATTTACATTGGGACATGCTAGTGGTTACAAGATGCATCTTGATTTTAGAAATGTAAAAAAAAAAAAAAAACAAAAGGTGTCTTAGAGGTGATGAGATATTGAGTTTAATAAATGTTGATGGGTAAGCTGTTCGTCTCGTCAGCTCTTGCCGCAAACTATGTGTGGTCTTGAATATTTAAAGGGTGGAGACTGTTCTCTGAGTGTGCTTCGAGCCCATCACCATTTGATATTCGTGAGCACACAGGCCTTGGCGTGTGCAGGAACCTTTGAGATCATCTAGTCCAAATCTAGTGACTTAACTTCCCTCACCACATCCCTGCCAAGTCACGCTCTATATCCTTTCGTGGCAGACAGCATTCAGTAGCTGGGGACTAGGTTTTAGGTGAGTGTCCTTACCAAGGGGGAGCTGATTTCTTAGAGTGGGTGCAGGTATAATCTCTGGTTTTGTTAAGTCTTATGGGAGAAACTAGCGCAGCGCGTTGACCTGCGTCGGACAGTAGGGGGCAGTGTGGTGCCTCCAGTGCAGGCCTGCTCTTCCAGTCTTGAGGTTTTGCTGGGGCAGCATTTCTAGAGGGTCAGGAAAGGGCAGGCCCAGCTGCTTGCAGCTCACCTGTTTGCTGCCTTCGGCCTATTTGGAAACCGTCTAAGCAAGAGTCCGTGGCGCACACACGGCAGCATTTCAGTTCTGCCCAGTTCTGGTGCTCAACTGTTTGACAAGGAGGGGGCGCCCCTCACGGTGCCTTCCTGCTCTGGGCAGAAGGCCTGGGACAGGCTGGGCCCTGTGGTCAGCTGACGGTGCTGCTGCCGTGTAACGCTCCCGTGACTCTTTGAGGAAAGAGGAGAGGCCTGGGACCGCCCTCCCACGGGTCTGGGGCGGCCACTTCTGCGCGGCCCCCGCCCTGGCGGGCGCGTCTGGCCGTGCCGCGGCTTCTGCTGCGTGGACAGCCTTTGCACCTGACCCCCGGCGGCGTCCTCCGTGCGCGTCTGCGACTCTTCCACTGGGATGTGTTTCCCCTCCTGTCGCAGGCTATGGGAGAAGATATCATCCCGGAAAAAATAAAAGACGAGATTCACACGGAGGTGAAGTGCGTCGGCTCCGCGGCCCTGGCCGCCCTGGTGGCCGCGTCGCCGGAAGAATTCGAAGACAGGTGGTTCGGGAAGACGAAGGCCCGCTTGGGCCCGCCTGGAAGCCCGCGCTGTGCAGACGCGCAGCTCCCGGCCGCGCCGGCCCGGTGAGAACGACGCCTTGCGCGCGCTGCGCTCATTGGCCGCGCTTACTACTTCAGACGGGATTCACTGCCTATCACGGAATATGGTGAATTATAAATGATTTTTCATGTTTATAGAAATGGCTTCTTTCCCAGATTATTTCCAGTGTTCAGTTCTTGATTTTCTGTCTTTGAGTTTTTGCCATTCTCTTACAGGTACTGTAACTTACCCTTTAGGAAATATCTGTTGGGAACGTTTACAGAAGAGACTTTCAGGATTTTATATATATATTTTTAGATATATGCTTACAGAACTGGGGTATAGGCCAGAGGTGCAAGGGTGGTGAGAGGATTCGCCGGAGACAGAGTGGGGAGCAGAACAGGCAGATGGATGAAGTACACTGCTGAGGGGAGCAGCGGGCGGGTCAGGAGAGGTCTGCCGCGCCATGTGGTCACCTCCGGGGCTGGGATTGGACTCGTGCTACAGTGGCTTCGGAGAGCTTCATAGTGAGGTCCTTTAACCTGTTGTGAAAAATCCCGGAGAGCCCGGGATTTTATAATTTTTTAAAAAACTACTTTATTGTAACGAGTACTGCAAGACCCCCTTGTCTACATAAGCCCCTCAGAAATGACCGGGGTTGCAGACATGTGACAGTGAGTGGTTTCAAGGAAGGGACTGCCAGGTTCTGTGAAGGCCCAGAGGTCCCCACCAGGAGGTCCACCTGTCAGTTCATGGGTGCTGGCAGGGGACAGGGGACGCCTGGGCCAAGACCAAGGACTGACTTTATTCCTCACAGCCCAGCAGACAGGTAGGGGTGAGACATGTAGGCCTAAGTGCATGCCGCACCCCCAGTTGTGGGTGACAGGAGCGGGCCCTGAGCTTAGGAAACTCACACTTTTGTCACAGACCGTCAGTGCACCTGCCTTGTGCTCCAGAGTGAGTCGCCCCCCTCCTGGGTGTTAGCTGTGCAGACAACCTTGAAAACATCGTCTGGGACAAAGGGCAGACAGAGACTTTCTGGCAGGGCAAGCAGCCTCTGGCCGGCCACACAAACTGCAGCCGCCGTCTGTACCTTTGTGAATGCAAAGCGCCTTCTGCCCTTGGATCTTCTGGGATGGAAGAGCACCCTCAGAAGTGCCCAGAAATGTCATCAAATGTGCTGCACAACTCTTGTTTGTTTTTCCTCAGCAGAGGGAAGAGAAGTCCAGCCCTGGGCAGAGATGTGGGGTCCTCATGACATCCCCCTACTTTGCCTGCTCATTCCCCAAAGTTTCCCAGGCCCCTTCCTCAGACTGGCAAAGGTCTGGTCTGGTTTATGTGTGGATGGCTTTTAGAATGGGCTAATGACCATCACAAGCAATTGCAAGTTTAGGCACTTAACCTGTAATAGGAAGCTCTGTAGGATTCACAGACATTTCAGTGTCTAGGAACTGCTGACAGTGAGGCGAATCCTCAGCAGCTCTCCACCGCCCGCCGCCCACTGGGTCTCACAGTCACTTAGTATGCGCCCTGCACTGTGCTAGGCTAGTAGAGGGTGGCCCTTGGGACGTGACGGGCCATGCTCTTCGCCACACGGCCTTCGGCTCTCGTGGGCTTTGTCTTGGCCCAGAACCTGGATGTTCCATAACATCACCCTTTCGGCTCTCACACTGGCCACCCAGTGGGGAGCCCCGTCATGAGGCTAAAGGATATTCCGCTCTCATGTTGTCCCTTCGCTTTAACCTCCCCGGGCCAAGAGACCAGGCGGCAGGCCTCAGCCGAGCTCCATTCTCCCACGTCGGCCTCAGTTACCCTAGTATAATCGCTCCCTCTGCGTAAAACCAGAGACTGGGGCTGTTTCATGCTCGTATCCGTGCAGTGTCTGGCACTCCACTAAACATTTGTTGAAAACAATTACAGAACTAACCGGCCAACATCTTACTTTGTGCTAAAGGTTAATACCCGGAAGATCCCACACTTGAGGCGACCCAAACACCCTTGGCCTTCACTGAGTGGAGACACCTGTGTTCAAGGACGGCCCCAGTGGCGGCCTGCCAGGGGACGTGGGTGTGACTGTGGCCAGGAGCAGAGAAAGCCTGCGTCGGGGAGGCGGGGAAACTCGGATCAGGACTTGTCTTGGCTTCAGGCCGCCCGCTCGCCGGGTGTGCAAAGACACTCGTTGTCCCATGGTAGAGATGGTGTCCTCTGAAGAAAGCCCAGAGCAGGGGGTAGCGGGGCCCGGGGAACCCATCCCAGGAGTGGACTGCCCCGCTGCCATGCAGTCCGGAGGCTGGCCAGCAGTCGCTGAGAGGGGCACGGTGCCATAAGAAAGAACCCCAAGCTCTGTGGCTTAAAGAATGAAGGTTTGTCTCTGGCTCGTATGCCTCAGCCATGGTGGACCGGTGGGGGCGTGGGGGTGGGAGGCCTGTTCCTGCAGCTGGGGGTGGGGGGCTCCATCTTGGGGCGTGCTCCCTCTGCTCCCAGCCTCAGAAAGCCCCCACTCACAGTCCACTGGCCCTCAGGAAGCACACTGACCTCCCCAGCTGGCAGGGACGTGCGAGCTGGGAGCCCAGAGGACAAGTGGTGTTTGTGAGCCGCTAGGTGAAGCCAGGGGCTAAGAGGACTGCGTGAAGCTACAGTTACGAGCAGGGAGGTGGGGGGCCCACTGGCCCCACCTGCCTGGCCAAGAACCTGCAGGTGGGTGCTGTGATCCCCAACCCCCGGTGTGGGGGGCTGGTGGGTGTTTGAGAAATGACGGGGTGCGGGAGGCAGAACAGGGCTTTGGAACTCCTGCACCCCACCAGCTTCAACTTCCTGGACTTCCTCCATCTGCTGTGCGAGCCAGTTTAGAGAGGGCTCTGCAGAGCCCGGCCCCACTGACCTCCTGATGGTGCTGGCCGGGTAACAGCGGCAGTGGGGTCGGGCTTAAAAACCCTTCAGAAACCAGGCCGGCGATTGAGGTGCTTTCAAAAACTAAGGAGGAAAAGGGCAAGTGAGGACAGAAATAGGATTTAAGAAAACAGAAGCCAAGATGCCTGTACTTGGCTGGGAGCCAGGAGCACGGGGGACAGGGCAGGGTGGACGGGAGGACCTGCAGAGGATGGAGACTTGGGGCCACCATGCTAAGCTGCTGAGCTGGAAATGGGGTAGCTGAGGTGGTTTGGGGGTGTGGCAGGGTTTGGAAACAGGAAGATGCAGGTGAGGGGTTTGGAGCGGCTTCTCTGGAACAATCTGGATCTGTGCCACTCACCACTCTCTCTCTCTCTCTCTCTCTCTCTCTCTCTCTCTTTCTCAGGGGCATCAGGCTGGGCCGGCCCCTCACCATTTGTTCTTTATATCCCAGAGGGGCTGTGCCATCAGGATCTAGAACCACACCATGAACAAAGAAGACGCTGTGACTCTGAGAAACAATGAATGACAGGCTTGTGGTCCTTCAGGCCGCTGGGTCTGCGAGGTAGTCTGAGGGCTGTGAGGACAGTTCTGAGTCCCCCTCTTGCTCGAGGCTGCCTGGGCTCTAGGCCAGGGCCACTTTCAGATCCGGACACCTCAAGCCCCAGGTCCCTGCCACCAGGGACCCCCGGCCCGCACTCAGCTCTACGAAGCAGGACCTCAAGCTGCTGGACTGCCTCGTCCACGTCATCTGGAAGCCTGGGCTTGTGTTCCCTGGTGTGACATTTTCACAAGCACCACGTGACATGCTGTGGCAGGTTTTGGGTCCTCGTCCTTAGCTCATCAGCCCAGGGACACCCCAGCATTACATCTTTAAAAGGAAGATGAGTTTCTCTAACTCTTCCAGAAACTTCTGGAATATTCCCAAACTTCCTGAACCCCTCTACCCTGAATTTCTGGGCTGTTCCTGGTGCCAGGAAGCAGGAGTACCTTGGTCAGACCCTCCCTGTGCTGCTCAGCGCCTCCGTTCACCCATATGTAAAACCCAAGTCTGCAGCACCTGTCTCTGGGGTGCTGGGAGAGTCTGGGGACAATATTAAAGCGTTAGCTGCACATAGAAGAAAGCAGTTCTATTTTCTTGACTTTGTCCTTTACCTCCCCGGAACCTTCCAGAATGTGCCCCGCACTCCCATCCCAGAAGCTAACCCAAGGACTGCTGGAGCTCAGCCAGCGAGTGGTCTCCCTCTGACAACATTCAAAACAGGCAGTGGTTTTGTCCCAGGTGTCTTTAGTCGAAGGGAAGCAGCGTCACACTCGCTAGTTTTTGAGGTGGCATCTTTAGGCCAGAAAACCCAGGAATGCGGAGCCCTGGCCCTGGCCAGGGGCCCTTTAGAAGTGAGGGGAGGCTGGTAGAAAGGGTCTCCAGGTGTGGACAGCCCTGGGCACCAGGCCCAGTTGCTCCAACTGCAGCCGAGTGGGCCTGTAGGCATTGAAGTTGCTGTACAGAGCCGGGGTGCTGTCGTGAAGTCTTGGGGAAAAGTGGGCCTTGGGGGACAGGGCCCCCCAAGGGCTGTTGTAGGGCTGAAACCTGGAGGGTGGAGGTGGGTTTGGGGACAGGGGGCTGCCAGGCCCCGAGGAAGCACACAGACTCTGGTGCTGCGGGTTGCTGCCTGTCGAGGGGCTGCTGAAGGGGTTGGAGGACGTGCGGTCACTGGCAGAGCTGCTGTTGCCGCTGAGGCGGCCGGGTTGGGGGCTGGGGCCCCCTCTGGGCTGGAGGGCTGCTGTCAGCTTGGGGGACTTCAGGCCCATCACAGGCTTGGAGGAGGTGTAGAGGTGGCGGAACTCCTGGTCGAAGAGCTCCACGGCCTGGCCCGTGAACTTGGACAGGATGTTCCGGTGCGCGTGTCCGCAGAGCCAGGTGAAGCTGGAGGGGAAGAGAAGAAAGGTGGGCGGGGGCGGCCCCGGCCTCAGCGGGCACTGGCAGTGCCAGCCAAGGGCAGGCGCACTAACACAAGCCCCCCAGGGAGGGAGGAGCACCACCCCCTTCACAGAGGATGGGACTGAAGCTCAGACGAGGCAAGTGGCCCCATGAGTAATTAAGATGCCAGCGTCAGTGGGGACCTCAGGGCTCCCTCTGGGGCTCAGACTGCGCCCTTAGAAGATCCTTGCGGAGGCACGAAGGGGCTGAGTGCCAGTGTCACCTGCTCTGTGCCCGCCACCTGGCTTCTGGAACGTCAGCCTCCACCTTGAAGGGGGACACTTGCCTCCCGGAACCAAGAGGTTCCCCGCAACGTGTGAAGGGAGCTGCGCAAAGTGGCTGTCCCTTGAAGGAAGGGGCTGGGCCATCATGACAACCTGCAGGCTCCAGGCCCATTTCCAGGCACCTGGCCCAGAAGGGAGGGAGAATCCCAGGCTGGTTGGCAAAAAGGTGGGACACAGCTGACAGTGCCCTGCCGGTGCCTGAGGCAGGGCCAGGCAAGGACGGGGTGACCCTGGGGAGAACAATGAGGCTTGGTTTCAACCTACGTCCTGCCCAGAGCCCCCCCAACCCCCCAGCCTCCCCACCCCCACCTGCAGAGAGGTGGTAAGTGACCGAGCCCAGAGCCAGCCACTGGCAGGGAAGGCAGCAAACAGCACGGCCACAGGCTCCCCTCAGAAACCACCACCCAGTAGTTGGGGGTCGGCTAGGCTCCCTAACGGGCTAGATTAGGCCAAGCTACTGCTCGGCTGCTCCACAAGGCAGGCCCCAAGGTGCCCTGGCAACTTTTAGGCCCCCACATAGCCCGTGTGCCCCCACCCTCACCCATGCACCTTGTACCTCTCTCTTGCACCCCTGCACCCCTGCACCTCCCTCACATCCGCCTTGTGCCCTCGCATCTGCTCCAGCTCCCACACATGGCGTGCCATCATTGGGTTTTACTGGTTTTGGCTCGCAGGTACTAGGCTTGCCGGTGAGGATTGGAATCAAGGGCTAGTTAGAAGGCCGGGCTGGCATCGCGCCTCCCCAGGGCTTGATTTGCATCTCCCGTCTTCTTCTGAGGTCCCCGAGGAGCTACCTCCTACCTGCCAGCAGCAGCGGGGCTCCCTCCTGGCCTACCCCTGGCACAGAGCATGGCCCGTGCGGTGAGAGAGGAGCTCTGCGTTCCACGCACCTGGAACAGCGCCCGCGTGGGGGAGACGAGCCCGGCCTCGGGCCCCAGAGCTGCCATGCCCAAGGGCGTGCAGCCGGGCCCACCCCGCCCCCAGAGCCGCTGCAGCAGGGGGAGCTCTTCGCTTTGGGAGAACTTTCACACCACAACTGTGTGCAACCGAGGGGAGAGCCGAGGCCCAGAGACAGGTGGACGGAGAGAACGGGCAGGCTGATCTGTTCTGGCTTTCACTGGAGACACCCTGAGCGGCCCAGGGAACAGGATGCTCCGAGCGGCTGGGGAGCAGCCCCTTGACGTCAGTGCCAAACCGTGAGTTGGCTTGGCCAATCCCGGCTTGCCCTCCCCCAAGGACGTCCACTCCCCGGCCAGTGACCTTGCCCCGATGAGGAGGCAGCACCCCCTCGCCCCGATGAGGAGGCAGCACCCCCTCGCCGAGCTCCCTCCTTTCATGTGGGTCCCTCTTGCCCTCTGCCTGGCATCTAGAACCCCTTACCCTACCCGTTCTTTAGGTCAGGCCTAAGTCCCTTTCTCCCTGAGGAGTGGATAATCGCTGCAGCAAGCCCCTCCCTACGGTGTTATTACACTGATTTTTCCTTGCTAACCCGTTTGATGCTTCACCCAGTGGGCCTGGGTGATGGGTGAAGAGACGAGGAGGGTTGTCGGAGGTCACCACGCCAGGAAGCGGTGGATCCTGGAACTGACCTGTGTTTATGTGGCCTGCAGGCCGGGCAGCTGCCCCACATAACGCCCAGGCCCGGAGACAGCCTGAGGCCCGGGAATTTGGAGGTGCTGCTCGGCGCCAGAAGCCATGCCACCTATTTGGCGGCTTTTTTTTTTTTTCCCTCATTAAGCCTCACAAGAACCTGCAAGGGATGTGTTGGCGTGGCCATCTCACAGATGAGGAAAGTGGTGCTAGAGAGAATTAAATTGTACCCTCTAAGAGGGGCATTTCTTTGGGATGTGAGTTATCTCTCGCTAAATTTGTTAAATTAGAAGATAGAAACTACTTAAACTAAAGGGGGGACACTCCAGCAACAACAGCAAATAGCTTGACTTTATTAACCACAGCTGAGAGAAGTGCGGAGCGAGGACTCTGTCCCGTGGCACTACGAAGGGAAACTGAGGCGCCTGGAAGAACTCTCTGCCGGAGTCCTCCCGGGAAGGCCTTGCTGGCTCCCCTCCAGCCCCCTGCAGCTCTGGGCTGGACGGGCACCCGCCGGGTGGGAGGGCTGGCGGCCCAGAAGCCTCTGAAGGTGGAGTCCAGGGCTCACCTGTACGATCCGGACAGGACGTATCTCCAGTCAGAGATGATGAACTTCTCCTGGATTTGTCCAGCGAACTTCCTGCCTGACTTGGCGCAGTACACCTCACCTTCCACGCTCCGGATGGAAATGTTCTGTGGCAGGCAAGTCACGTGCGCTAATTATACCCTTGCAGATACCATGTGCATCGGGAAAGTCTAGAGGGGCCTTTACCAAATGCCAACAAAGGTTTTACACTATGGGCTATTTAAACTTCTTTCAATTTTCTAAATATACTTCAGGGTCCTGGCATTATTTGCGTAGTGGGAAATGACAGAATTCAAACAAAGTAGAAAGGAGGAGAGGAGGGCCTGGTACCCTCTGAGCGCTGAGTCCAGACTCCTACAGACGCCAGGTAAACCCAGCGTGCCCCGGGGAGTGGCTTTGGTGACATGGAAGGTCCAGCTTGGCGGAGAATGCAGCGGACTCTGGATTGTCCTGTCTGAGAAAAGCTGTGTCCACAGCCCAAGTCCAGGCCCACATCTCTTTCTGCCCCAAGAGCACCCACTGCCCAGCCTTGAGGCTGGGACCCCCAGAAGACTGGAGAAAAGGAAGGACACGTGCAGCTGGGAGCCCCGAGGGGGTGGGGTGCTGCTGGGATCCCAAGAATGCCCGACAGTGGCAGCCGTGACCGCTCAGGAGGGGTCGCCAGGCCGCCCAAGCTCCTGTCAGCCTCTCCACAGGGGTCGGGGTAGGTGGGGGGTAGGGACTGACGCTTGGCGAGCTGAGGACTGTCAGGTGTGCCCGGTGTGGGCCGTGAGGCAAGACCTACGCGGATTCCCTCAACTTGTTCGGAGGCCAAGCCGGTATGATCGGGTGATGTTCATCAAGCTGAACCAGGAATCATAGGGCCTCAGCTCAGCTGCAGCCCCTTGGTGTGGAGGGGAGAGCAGGTCCCCTGGAGACAGGCCGCCGGGCAAGGCCCTTTGGACCCAGCAGCTGGAGAGCTGGGCCTGCTCAGCTGTGATAGCTGTGAGCGCTATCACGCTTGGCCTGGAATCAGAGGTTTGCGATTTGATTGACTTAACATGCCCTGATCTCTGGGTTTCTTGTCTGCCTGCCTGGAGAAGGAGGTGGAGGGCTTGGTTAAGTCCAGGAAGATGAGCTTTCTGTTGGGGCTGTGGAGTCCTAAACATGCCTCAAACTGGCTCTAGTTGTGGCCTGCCTGTGAAGTACACCCACCGGCTTACCTAAGTGCAGAGGGCATGAGATTATGCCTCACCTGCCTCCTACAGCCCCTGTAGACTTCCAGCCCTAGACATCTGGGTGAGGAGAAAGGACGATGGCGGGTCGGAAGCCTCCAGCCCCTTCTCTCCCATGCCTGTTCCCTTGAAGGGTGTGAACTCCCTTTGGTGTAGCTACAAGATGGCTGACGGCTGTCTGACCTACCACAAACCTTCATGATGCAAAGTCCCATCTGTTACAAGGTGTGGCCTGTTGTCTCAAGAAAGTAGCTTTTGGAGCCTCACTGGAGGACCCTACCTTGAGGTGACTGTCGGAGATCTGGACTTTGTCACACATCTCCTGGAAGAGCTTCACGCCTCCCTGGTCCAGGAGCACACAGACAAACACCCCGCGCTTGTTGGCTGCTTCTAGAATGTCACAGAAGATCTCCACGTCAGTGAAGACATCCATCAAGATAGCCAGGACCTGGGCCAGGGCAAACAGGTTGATAGGCAGAAAAGTCAGAGCCAAGTGCTAGCTGATTTCAGCCAAATTTCCTCCTAATGCCCAGTGGGCCTGGGAGAACAGTCCCCCAGGGGGCTGGTCTGGGAGCAGAGGCTGTCTGAGAGCAGGAGAGGAACAGCTGGCAGAGGCTGGCCTCTGCCCCACCCCACCTCTCCAGCCCCCCGCAGATACACGGGCCTCTGTGCCCACTGGTGGAGTGATTGTGCTCAGGAGGAAGGAGAGAAAGGAGAGGGAAGGGAGGAGGCGGGGAGGGGAGGTGCCAGGCCAGGTGCCCGGGCAGGGAGGGGCTTAAACACATGAATTCTCAGCCATTTGGGACTCTGAGGCACAATATGGCCGCTGGCTTGCAAGTGATTCTAAGCCTTGGAGACATCTCAAACAACCCCTGCCCCTGGAGGCCCTCTGTAGCAACTAGGCTCAATGAGCTCACCAGCAGGGTGAACAAGGAGTTCTGCTCAGCCAGCAGATACCAGTTCCTCTATCACTACAGAAACTTGGGGGGTGGGGGGCGAGCAGGAACTCTAGATATTCAGCAAAGGGAGACACATCTGTGTGCCAAGCAACCATTCCATTCCCTTCTGCCTACAGACCCCCCACTTTTACTTGACAGCATCTCCTCTCCTCCACAGACAACACGGTTGGGGTGGGGCTCCTCCCCGGCTCTGGAGGGGGAGTAAGGGCGGCCACCTCACAGGCCTGACCGACGACAGTGCTGCATCACCTGCTGGCCACAGAGATTGGTTGGGGTGGTCACAAGGTCTGTCATTCAGACGCGAGTCAGCCCAGCAGGGCTGCCAGGACTCTGGGAAAGGCCTTCTTTCTAGGGCAGTTGCTTGGCTGGTGGTTTATTAACACCAGTTGCTGGCAGCCCTCTTGCCACCATGTGGGGACAGCCTACCTGAGTGTGAAGCCAGCCCTAGAGGAAGCAGGGCGAGAGGTGGAGACGATGCCAGCGGCATCATTTGCTCCTGCCCTTGTCTATGGCTGTGGATGTCAGTGCAGGCTTCTCTTTAACCTGATTGGGTTTACTTTTGGCCACTCAATATCTGAGTTGTGGCATGTCAACCAGTGGGTTAGTGAGCAGCTACAGAGGAATATTTAAAAGTCTAGATTAAAAAAACCACACAGCTGAGGGTCCTCCCTGGTGGCACAACAGGTTAAAGCGCAGCACTGCAAAGCTGGCTGCAGCAGCCTTAGCCTGAGTTCAAGCCCCGCCAGGGAGCTGACCCACATGGCGCGGCAGACCTCTCCTGTCTCGCCTGCTGCTCCCCTCAGCAGTGTATTTCAGTAGATCTGCCTGTTCTGCTCCTCACTCTGTCTCTGGTGATTCTCTCACCCCTGCACCTCTGGCCTGTACCCGAGCTCTGTATGGATGGATAGATAGATAGATAGATAGATAGATAGATAGATAGATAGATAGATAGATAGATAGATAGATAAAACACCACACAGCTGGGAAGCTGTTGAAGGGCCCGGCTTCAGACATACACTGGTACCTGGCAGTTTTGGGCATGTCCAGGGCAAATCAAAGACTGCCCAGGACTGAATCAACCAGTCACCACTTGACAAACAAACTTTCCACCAATTGAAACTATACCTACTGAGAACTCATTTGCATAAAGTTGACCTGCGTGGGGACTGGTCCCCCCTTTTCTCTCTAGGGGTCTGCCAGGGCTACTTGGATACAAGCTGAAGTGCTTCTTGGGTCTCCTGGACGGCAGGTCCGACGCCACGGGTAAATGGCTACTGTAAAGTCTTGCTGTAACCTGACCAGACTTCAGTCAACACGGCCACTAAAAATGATAACTATAAAGGTTACATGAAAAGGATAAGGCTTAATGTAAAACTTGTTGTGTAATAAGTGCCTCACAGATGAGTAGTAACAGTTCATCACATGGCAGAAGACAACAGAAGTCAAGTGGTGAGTCCGGTCTGATGGCCAGTGAGTGACAGGTGTGCAGCTGGGTAGTGTAACAGGGGGGTCCCCAGGAAAAAGGGGTTTGCTGGTTCCCTGCCCCACTCATAAGGAAGCTGAGCAGGGAGGAGAAGAATCTGGAAAGAAGACTGGAAAGGAAGGAAGCCAGATGGAGAGCCAGAAGGAGACCGGAGGGAGGCACAGGGAACAGAGAGACAGAGAAACACGCGGTTCTTGTTTCTTGGCCCTGGACTGAGTGAGAGACCCATGGGGAGGTGACCATGGTAGTGTTTATCTTGGTTTTGATTTTGCGCTTTTCCTCCCAGACTTTGTCCATTTCTGACCCTTTTCTAAGGGTCCCAGCCAGGAGGTGCTTTAGACTTGTGGCAGCTTTCTGGCCTTGCTTTGGGCCAGTCCCTTTTGGGTTGACTTTACCTATGAGGGGATGGGTAACTTCAGGTGTTTGATTTAGAAGCTATATTCTTTAGTTTTGCTGTATTGCACACGGATTCTATTAAAGTTCCTTTCCATTAAAGGTCCTATATGTTTTCTATTGATGCGGCAGATGACAGAACCTACTTGAAACAGGCAGGTTTAGAGGTTCGGGGGTGCCCCTCTCCCTGCCCTGTAACAGTTGCACGAAGCCAGCCTTAGCCAGTCACATTGGGATACAGGGACAGTGATAATTTTCTTTCTTCAGTGTAATAATGATCTGGCATTTTTCTAATAATTATAATTTTTTGGACCACAAATATCTGGGCAGTACAAGATAACACAGAGACAGACAAGGGAGATGGCTGGAGCCCTCTTGGAACCACCTGCTAGGTTGATGTGAGTGTCTGGAAGAGGAGGGACTACTGAGAAGTCTCTTCACCCTGGGCTAGAAGTCATGAAGTGCTCTGAAGTGAGGTGTGACCCTTTAGAACCACGGCCTGTTACCACAGGACCACGTATCTGTACGCTTCAGCCTCCAGTGCTAACAGCAGCCAGCCTCTCTTTGCTGAGAGATAAGAGCCTCCTCTCCCAAGACGTTGACTGAAGAGATCACTGTCTCTCCAGGATGTCAGTTAATCCTCCCACGCCTGTTCTAGCGAGTCTAGTTTCCTGATGGTGGGCTGGTGGGCAGGTGACCCAGAGAACAGAGAAGGGGACAGGTTGCAAAGAACCCAGTGTCCGCTGGGGATGTTCCCAAATACAGGCTCTCAAAGTCCAGGTTTATCTTATTTCCTTCCTGTTGGGTTTCCTCCCACCTAGCCCGAGGGAGGCCAGTGACAGGCTGCACCTCTCTCTGCAAAACTGTGAGGCCGGACAGGGTGCCATGAGTTGAGCCCCCCTAAAGATAGGTACAACCCTAGACACCAGAACCGGCGGTACAACCTTGCAGGGAAAGCGTCTTCGGAGCTGCGTCTAACGCTCTCAGGATGAGGTCATCCTGATTTACCCAGCGCGCCTGTGAAAAGGATTTTCAAGCAGTCTAGACACTCCATCTTGGGCAAAACCCCATTTTGCCAACTGTTTACTTAAAAAGAAAAAGCTCTCTATGGACAGGCAGGAACTGGTTTCCAGCTAGACAGGACTTTCTCTTAAAACGGTGCAAAGATAATTGTTTTCTTTTTCTTCTCTCCATAGTAACCAAGGCCAGCTAGTAAGCCGATGAGCTCCAGGGAACATAGCCTATAATCAATGCTAGTTCGTAGAAAACAGCTTTTGCAACCCCACCCTTTTACCCCCTGTCTTATGTCCTTTCAAACCCCCTGAGCAAAGACCCTAAGGAACACAACCCCTGAGCAAAGACCCTAAGGAACACAGCGAGTGAGCTGATGTCTGACTTTGAACTCCCTGATTTACAAATCTAAGACCCCTGAAATGTGCTTTTTTTCTTTTTGTTTAGCCGAGTGGTGGTTTTCTCAGGTTGACACCCTAAATCCAATGACAAGCTTTGTTAGAGGAGGCACTCAGAGGGGAGACTCTGGGAGGAGGCTGACACTGGAGGGCGGGGCCACAGCTCCCCAATTTCTGAAGCCACCAGGAGGTGGGAGAGGAAGAGGGAACCTCCCTGCAAGCCTTCAGAAGCCCAGATTGGACTGTGGCCTCCAGAGCTGGGTTTTGAGTCACCAAATGTCAGGTACTTTGCACCATCAGCCGTGGGAAGTGAACAGAGGTGAGGATGGACCCCAGAGGCAGCGTGGTCTGCTGGGCGTAAGGGGGCTTAGCTCCCACGGGGGCTCCTGGAGACGAGCTGAGGGGTCCGGGGGAAGTCACTTCTTCTCTCTGAGCCTGCTTCTCTCCACCGCTCAGCAGTAACCCCCTGCACGGTGGGTCTAGCTCTAAGCCCAGATAAGGCGAAGAAAGCAGATGCAAAAGTGATCGTTGCTATTCCAACGAGAATTTCAAATGTGACTCATCTTCTGTGCATCACTTGTGAGCCAGCATGGACAGTGTCGGGACACAACAGCATGCAAGAATGTTTCCATTCAGGTCGTGGAAGTGGATGAATGGAGTGTGCAGGGCGGGGTTCTGGCCTTAGGCGGAGGGTGCGGTGGGCATGGCCTGAAGAGCCACGGCCTGTATTCCCCAAAGCATCCGGCGCTGGACACCAGCATTACCACAGTGAAAAGTCTACATTGGTGGCCGTACCTGCGTGGGCATCACGAAGGACCGGGGCAGGGCTCTCCTTAAGGCTGGAGGAGCACAGCACGCGGCTGAGCGAGGGAACGAGAGCCCATGGAGGGAGGTTGTCCCGGAAACACAGCCTCTAGGCGGGCAGTGGGCATTGAGCCCTGCTGGGAGGTCACGCGGGGGGACTTCAATCCTGTCTGAGCTTCACCCCTGCCAGGCAGGCTTGAGCTCCTCCGGCCAGGACTCCTGCTGTTTTGGGAGAGGAGGGGCTTTGACATGGGCTTTGGGGTCACCAACCATGTTGGGGTCCGGAGGGAGGCACCTGCATCCTACCCCATGCTTCACTTCTGTCTACGCTTTCCACGTTCTCCTCTCCTCCATTCTGATGCTCCCTTTTTGAGTTTGCTTTCTATGGGGAGGCGTAAGGACAGCAGTTATGTGATGTCGATATGCACCCTACAGTGTAGCCCCGGTGAGTCGGGGTTCAGAGAAGTGACTATCCTCAAGAATGCAAGGTTAGACCAGGCCCAGAGCTATGCCCAAGTCACCCTATGACAGGACTAGCGAAGCTCTGTCTGCCTATCAGCTGCAGTCTGCGGGGGAAGATTCTCCTCCCTTTGTGGTCAGGGAAGGGCTGAGGGAAGAGACACACACTCTGGGAGGACTCCAGAGCAGAGAAAGCAAAGAGAACAGAGGCAGCTCCCCACCCGCACCCCTCGGCTGACCACAGAGAGAAGCGGCCAACAGCCTTTGCACACCCCGTTTGTGCTGCCTTTGAGCTGGGGCCCCCCCGCCCCTCCCGGAGCCCAGTCTGGAGCAGTGACCACATGCTGTCCAGCCCGGCTCCCAGAGAGAGACACTGCTTCTGAGAGCCCTGGAAGGAGAGGCAAGATCCAAGGGCGTGGTGAGCTGGGGGCCCGGGGCACCCCATTTGCTCCATCCAGACCTGGGCTCTGTGATAGGTGCAGGCACCCTGCTGCCTTGCCCAATGCCTGGGGGTTCTGGCCCCTCTTTCAGAGGCCCTGGCCAGGTCACACTGCCGCCTCTGCTGGGCCAGGACCAGCCACCTTCGTCCCTGACCCAGAGCCGGTCCTGTCGCCCTCAGCAATGACCCAGAGGCCCGGGGGAGCGTGGGGGGACGTGGCTCCCAGGGGCTCAGCCGGCACACACGAGCCTTGACACCTGGGCGTGGTGGGGAGGAGAGTGGAGCTTCTCTGGAAACTTCTCTCCTCCCTTCTCTGAAGAACCCTCCAAGCACCCAGAGGGCGGATCAGGCTGATTCTTTCTCTGGGTGAATCTGGGTGATGTGTCAAGGGAGAGGGGGTGGGGGCTGCCTGCTAATACTCCCCAACTTTTTCATCTTAGAATGGCTTTTCGACCCTCAAAAATTATCAAGGTTTCCAAAGAGCCTTGCTTTGTGTTTATCATAACTATTGCTATTGGTCATATTAGAAACCAAAATTGAGAAAATTTTAAAATATTTGTCAGCTATCTAAAAATAACTAGTCTTAGTTATTTTAAAACAATAGTGAGCCCATGATATGTTATAGCAACAGCAGTTTCAATTTAAAGAAATCTGGATCTTTGGGCCCTCCCTGGTGGCTCAGCAGGTTACAGCACAGCACTGAGAGGCTAAAGCCACTTCAGCATGAGTTCGATTCCCGCCTGCCCCGGAGGTGACCCACATGGCACAACAGACCTCTGCTCACCCTCCCGCTGCTCCCCTCAGCAGTGTACTTCGTCAGTCGGCCTGTTCTGCTCCCCACTCTGTCTCTGGTGAATCCTCTCACTGCCCTTGCACCTCAGGCCTGTACCCCAGTTCTGTATGCACAAATAAATAAATCTAAAAAAAAATGTATCTCTGCCCTTCCAAAGACAGTCACAACAGTGACCCAATTGCTGCTATACACTTTTGCCAGTCGCTGTGATGTCTACTGGACAGAAGCCAACTGCTGCTTCGGCAGCAGGCCTTGTGATGTGTTGCTGGGTGGAAATTTATGAAGACGACTGGGGATCACACAGACAAGTGGCTAGATAGGGCAGAACCTCACCAGGCCACTGAAGGGTCTTGGGGTCCTTGAGCACCCTTGGAGAACATCTATTAATCATGCTTTTAGTTTTCCATATTTGCAATGCTTTGACCTCCCAGGGCCAGCTAAGTCCTAGAGAGAGCAAGACTGCCCAAAACACCTTTGCTTTGCAAACCGAGCAGTCCAGGGCCCCTTACCAAGCGCCTAATGCTTGTACTCCAATCAATAAGGCCTGGCCCCAAGCACCCCAAGCCAGTTACCAGATAACTGGAGACACCCCAATATTGCAGAGCCTGATGAGATTATTCAAACTAGTCACAAACTCCTTCCTGCTTTCTCTCCTGCCTCCTGCCCAGCACGGTGGGCCGTGAGGCCCACACAGCATTCTCCGCCTTCCACTGCAAGGCGACGACGAGCAGAAACTTGGTCTCCCTTGCAGTTGGCATGGACCTGCTTGGAAAAGTCTCGGGCATATTTAGGAACAGAGAGCTGTTACCACCACGCGTTGGCTCCCAGGTGCTCTGTCAGGCACATCTGCTCCAGGCCCCCCGAAGCCCATCCCTGCCCCCACCTCCCACCCCTTTGAGGCCCCATCCTGAGGCTTTGTCCCATCACATGAACATGTATCTGCCTACCTCCAGGACTCCCCCGCTGCTCACACCGCTTGACCCAGGCCTGGAGTTCCTTTCCCTTCCCTGTCTGCCTGGCAGACTCTTACTCAGCCTTGGAGACTCAACTCGCGGGCCACCTCTGTGTGAAGCCTGCCTTAGTCACCATCCCGCACTCCCGGGCACCGGGATTGCTCAAAGCTGACTCTGCCACCCACCAGTGGGCTGCTGTCCTGCTCCCCCCTCCTGGGGACACAGCCCAGAGGGGCCTCTTGTCCTGCTCTGCCACCTTGGCCTGGCTCCCAGCTCAGGCAGTGTGTCTGCATTGGACACCCCAGGAGGTGTCCCCCAAAGTTCTGGAACCAGGAAGATGGGCGGAGGGGCCTCTAGTTCATTCCACTACGGTCACGCTTTGGCTCCGAGTGGCTCTATCAGGCACAGCTGCGCCAGGGCCCCCTGAGCCCCGTCCCTGCTCCCACAGTGAGTATCAGCACAGGACTGCTGGTCCCTCCCAAAGTATGAGGGACATGGGATGAGAGGAGGGGGAAGGGGAGCAAGACTGGACTCCAAGGGGGAAAGTGGGCAGTTTGAGAGTCTCTCTTCTAACATGATGTCGTTACATTTAAAGACCTACGAAAGGAAGACACTATTAAGCACTTCTGGGCGAGGGCCCCAGAGTCAAGGCTGAATCCTCCTCTCCCAGGCCCCACACTGTGTGAGATCAGTGGCTCCAGAAAAAGCCTCCAGGGTGGGGAGGCTCTACACGCACAGGGCAGGGCGGAGGAAGCAGAGCTCTGGAACGATAAGCAGGAGGGAATGTGGTGCAGGATCCACCTTTCAGGAGGCTGAGCTGCTTCAGGGCTGCGTGTCATGTTTCTGGGATCAGCTGCCTTAGGAATTGACAGAGGGCCCAGGAAGGGGTGCCAGGCACCCCAGCACCCCAACTTGGCACCCTGCCTGGGTCTGCCTGCTTGGCCCTTGGCCTCTGCAGGCTCAGACTCCCTTCTGGCCCCAAGGGCCTGTTCCAGGCTCTGGTCTGTGTGCCTGAAGGTCAGGGCCCCCCAGAGTGGGAACCTTTAGAAACATTGTCAACAGAACTTGCAGCGCAGAGGGAGGGTGAGACACCTGGCAAGGAGCCAGGTTAGTGCTCGGGGAACAACATCGCCTGGCTGCTTGCCTGGCATTTGCCACGTCCCACCACCGAGGCTTCCCTCCTGCCTCGAGGCCCTGCGCCCGCCAAGGTCTCTCCAATGCAGTGACTTACGAATTTAAGACAACACAGACCAGAAGGTTTCCCCCCAACGCACGAATTTCTAGGTGCTGTTGGCAGGTTGGAAAGCCTGGCTCTGCGGGCGCTCTATGGGTGGGTCTCCTCAGCGGCAGACCCCACCCCGCTCCCCTTTGCCACACAGCAGCTTCATCTACTTTCTTGCCCGTCAGACTTTTGCACGTAGCGTTTGTCACGTCCTCGCCCCGCTTATGTGCACACACACACTCAGATGCCTGCGGGCGCAGAGGTGACTTGCTGCCCCAGAGCTGCCAAGAGGCCTGGATGCCCAGCCACAGCCTGTCCACGGACGTGGGCAGTGGTCCTGGCTCTGCTTAGAGCCTTCCGTGGGTCCCAGTGCCACAGGGCAGAGCGGAGCCCCTGGCAAGGCTCAGGGCCTCTGCAGCGCTCGCCCGCCTCCCGCCCGTCAAGGCAGAGCGACCTGCGGGTTCTCATTCCAACCTGTGCCTGTGCTGTCTCCTCCCTGGGGCCCCCTCACCTTCCTGCTTTCCACTTGACTAACGCCTATTCCTTCCCAGCACCCAGCACCCAGCACCCAGGCGCCTTCCTCAGGGCGCTTTCCTGAATTCCTGGGGCTAGGAGAGGCTTCTCGCCTCTGTGCTCCGAGTGAAAGGGCCGCTCTCTTGGGGCACACACACACCTGTCCCCTGATTTCTGAGACTAGGCTTACACCTGTCTGCCCACAAACACCCTCGCAGCACCCAAATGCAGCAGGAAGGGACAGAGCTTGATTGGCCGTATTCCACTGAGGTGGGTGCCGGGCGGTTGGGGATCAGATGGAAGAGGCGGCCAGAGAATTGCTGCAGTTCTGGTGATGGACGCGCGACCCAGGCCCCAGTCAGAGATGCAGGGCAGGACAGAGAGGAGCACCCCGACTCCATCCCAAGTGCCAATCATCTGGGCTCCATCCCAGCTGCAGGGGCCACCCCTGTCTCTTCCCCCGGCCCCGGTCCTCCCTGTTACCTGGCTGGTCCGGGTGATGCAGCGGCGCACGAGGTCTCTGATGTTGTTGTGCTTGTCTGTCTGGAAGTACACGGTGGCGCTGGAGTTTTCCTTCAGGTAGGGCTTCTCTGCGGAGACCCAGGTGTGCAGCAGGGCTGGCTCGCTGCCCTCTGAGGCCACCGGAAAGTAGGTCCCTGACTGCAGAGAGCAGGAATCCAGTTCCCTAGGGCCTGCCTCAGCCCCTGCCTCGGGGGCACAGTGGGGCTCCTTGGCCTGGGCCTGGATGAACTGGGCCTCTACCGAGGACAGAAAGTCCACCTCTCCTTCCTGGCTGAGCACCTGCCAGTAGGCCTCAGGGCCACCATCCAGGAGGGCATCCGTGGCCAGCCGGGCACTCTCGTTGTCACTGAAGTCGGTCCTGGCTGGCCGGACCCACTGGGCCTTGACATCTTCCAGACGTCTCCGGATCTTGCCTACATGCCTTGACCGGCTCATGGTGCCCTGTCCCCACGTCCTGGGCACAGGCTGGCACTTGAGCGCTTCCTGGTGTCAGGAGCCAGTGGGCCACACCGCGGAGGAGATCAGGTGTGCACCCACCTCCCAGGTCAGGTGTGCACCCAGCACTCCGGACTACCTGTCGCCTCTCACACAACTGCTCCAAGAAAGTGGTTTGCCGCTGTCCCGAGCAATACTTCCCAGAGATCTGTCTGCCTGTGCAGCCAGGGGCTGGTGTGTCACTGAGTGACACCCGCCCAGCCTGCAGGCCAGGAAGGCTGGCTCAGTCCCGCTCTGGCACACTCAGCCCTGGGAGATTTCCTCCTCCCTTAAGCAGGGGGAGGTCAAGGCAGGCTGACTTTCCTGCTCCTTGTGCAACTCTCCCCAGACCCTGGGGCCTTAGTTACCAAGCAGAGGGGCTCTCCCAGCATTGTCTACCCGGTCTCAGTCCCCCGCCTACTCCTCAGATCAAATGCCATTGGATCAAAGACAAGAATTTCCCCATGGGGAACAATGCTGAGACCGGCTGGCTCAAGTGGGGAAGGAGGCTGGATGCAGGCCAGGCAGATAGGTGTGTTCACAAGGTCCTCCTCCTTTCCCTTGCTAACACTCCCAGTTCCCGGCCAGCTCCATGCCTGAAAGGCTCTGCTCTCTTGTATCTCTCCTGCATGGTGTCTCTCGTGGTTGTAGTGGAACAGTTCGCAGAGAGGCTCCAGTTCTGGAGCAGCGTGGAGACATGGGAGCCAGTGCTTGGAGAAGCACTTGCATGTGTCTGGGTCCCCCACCGATAGCGTGGCATGGGAGTTCCATGTTTGAGGGAACTCCCAAAGGAGAAGCCACATTCTCTTTCCAGGTCATGGGGAGATCCATGTCAATAGACACCAATATCTAGGTTCCTAACTGTTTTTGATTGTTTCTGCCAGACACACTCTGAGTCTAGGATAAGAGTGCAAGTAGCTAACTGGACAGTGATCCCAGGAGGAAGGGATGGGAAGGACATAGTAACCTGCCCAATATCACACACTAGTAAGCGGCAGTTCCTGGGCCCTCACACCAAAGCCCACAGTTTTCCTCTGTGCTAATTCTTATGCTTTCCCTTCTTGCTGTCAGGGCAATCTGAGTCCTCTGCCCATTTCCAGGATGTGTGTATGGGAGAAGGAAAGAAAAGGGAGGACATGCAGACATTCTCCTCTCCCCTGGGTCAAGCATTCCTCTTAGACAAATAAATGTTTGAGAATACTCCAAGACAGAGGTATCTCCATGGCCTGCAGAGACTGTGTTTTTGGGTTTACTTGTAGAGCAATTTGATTTGAAGAAGCAAGCAAACAAACAAAAACATCTTTGAGTAGAAATTTTCCTTCTAGAGCTACTGGGTGAAGAGGAGCCCTGCTTCTCTTGTCCCAGATTGTTACCCTCATATAATCTGAGGGTAACAATCAATTCTACTTGAACCCTTTAAATAGACAGCAGATATATTCTGTGTGTATTGTCTCACCTCCACCCTCTCTGCCTGTGCTCCTGGCAGACATAACTAATTGATCTACTCTGTGTGTATTGTCTCACCTCCACCCTCCCTGCCTGGGCTCCTGGCAGACATAACTAATTGATCATAGAACACAGAACTCTTTCCCAGGAGATGGAAGCATGGACTCATTGCTTAAAGAGAAGTCCTCAGCCTGGACTGTAAGTTCTCCAGTTTACCAGTGAGAAGACATTTGCTCAGGAAGGGGAAGAGACTGTTGTGAAAGTCTCCAGATGACTTTCAATTCATTATCTTTGTCCCTCATTGCCTCTCCTCTGTAGTGCCATCTCTAGGAAGTGTCATTATTCTTGTTGGAAACTCTGACCCAAACCACAAATTTTCCCACCTAGGATTGCACTCCTGTACCAGAAAGCCTGGCTAGCTGTTGAGCCACAACTTCACAGGTGGAGAAATTCTTATCCATGAACCCTCCATTCCGGGCTTTGTGGGTCACAGAGGAGTTACAGTCTTCCTTCTCGTGGCCTGAAGTGCAGTCTCTCCTAGTCATAAGGACACCCAGCCATGAAGGAAAGATGAGGAGCGGCTCCTATTAGCAAGTGAGTGGTGTTGGGGCATCGTGAGAATTCCATTCCTCTAGGGCAATGATTCTTTCCTGTGAGCTGTTTCTTCTCCTGCCCAGGAGTCTGGAAATGTCTCAAGACATTTCTGCTTATCACAACTGGAGGCTGATGCTACCTCCTACAATGAGGGGCCATGGAGACCTATCTGTTCTTACATGTGGACTGTGCTGAGGCCGAGGAGCCCAGGTCCTACTGGGTGGCTGGCCACTGTTCATGTGGAGGTCCAGTCCCCTGCCTTTGTTCAGACTGTCCCCACAGTTGGAAATTCTGGCCTCACCACCCCATCTAAGCGTTTGTCTGTCTCGATCCCCACCTTTCTAGGGAGTCTTTCTTGACAATCCCCAAGCAGCTGAATTGCCATCCTCTTGCACCTTAGAGAACTTGTCTCTGGGGGGCTTATGCTAATTGTGGGTGTGGTCCCCTCCCCACTGCGGCTGATTCCTTGAGTGATGCAATGGGAAAAAAGCCTGTGTGCCTTCAGAATCGGGCACCCAGGGTCCAGAAGAATTTATGGTGAGTTACTTGGGTAGTAACTCACAGGCCCTCGAGTCAGTAGACTTCCCTCTTCCACCTGCATGATAACGCTAAGGTGGGGGGGCCGCCCTCTGTGTACCAGGTGCTATTCCAAGTGCTCTCTGTGTCAACTCATTCAGTCCTCATAGCGGCCCTGTGAGTAACTGCTATTCCCATTTCTGTTCCATGGACAAAGGAAATGGAAGCACAGAAATTACCTAACTCGCCCAGGTCACCTGGAGGGGAGGTGGCATTGTCCAGATTTACCCATAGTCGTCTGGTCCCAGTCTTCGCCTGAAAACCACAGAACTTCTGTCTCTTTCTCAAGGTGAATCTCAAAGGGGTGAGCAATGAAGGAGAAAGTAATAAGTGTAGTAAGTGATCAGGCTTGGGTTTATTTCCAAAACATTGGCTGGAAATTATAACCAGTCTGTAATTGCTGGGGTGCATGCCATTCTCCTCCTTTAGACTGTGAACAATAGGATGGAGGTCGGGAGACAGGAGATGCATGACTTAGTCTTGACACCCACCTCCATGACCTACCTCAGTTTTGGGCTGGCACATAGTAAGCATTCAATCAATGCTTGTTAAGTGAATAAGTGACTAAGAGTGGCTGAGGCAGAGGCTGCTTACCCAGGGAGGAGGGGCATAAATAGGATTCCAGAGCTTGTGTGTGGGGCAGCCAGGGGCTGAGAGCCTGGGCTTTGGGCCCTGGAGACCTGAAGGAACAGGTGCCTGTTTGACCCTGTCAAGCGATCGCCACTTGCTCCCTGCCACTTCACTAAAACCTGCAGCAGCGTGAAGGATTGTACAGTCTCATTACCCAGTGACCCAAGAAGTGCAATTACGTTGAAAATCAGTTGGCATAATTAATTAGATGAGTAAATAACTCCCTGTCAACACCAATCAATCCTTTCTGCATGTAATCAGCTCAGCAAAGACAGGCAAGGAGCTCCTGCAGCTGCTGCTTCTGCTGGCAGGGGTTGCCCATGGAAACAGAAGAGGGTGTCCAGCCAGGCACCCCAGACCTTGGCCACCACCCACAGGTGCTTCTACAGCACCTTGACTGAAAACCAATGAATTCTAAGTCCTAGTTCTTGGTCAACTCTACTCCCCTCCCCCGAGCCCTAACCAACCCCTGCCCCAACAACATTACTGCAATTGCTATAAAGAGACGAAAAAGAAAAAATAATCAGCTCTGCATGGTTCTCAGGGCAGGTTCCGGGGCCTGCTGCCCAGGCCCACCGGGGATGCAGTTCTGCTGCTCCAGCAGCTTGGGCAGAGCAGGGCAGGCCAGTCCTCCGTGTGGGAGGAGGACTGGGAGGCAGAGGGTGCTCCTGGAGCAGCCCTGGGTGTAGCTGGGCAGCCCTGGCCTCTGCAGCGTCCAAGTGTGGCTCGCGAGCTCTCCGGGAACCTGTGATGATAGCACCCTCTGCTGCACCAGCTCCAGCTTAGCCTTCTGTGGGTCTGGGCGTTGCTCTACGGCCTCCATGCAGGCACTGTGGCAGGACCCGATCAGGCGCAGCCTCCACCAGCCCGTCATGCTCGGCGTGACGGAAGAGCTAGAGTCTTCCTCTCTGGCTCCTGACTTCCTGAACCCGGGCCGCTGGGCACCAGGGGACTGCAAAAAAGAGGGAGCACTGGGGGCAACTCCTTTTTCTGAGCGAGGCTCCCGCTTGCACCCTGGTCTCTGCTCGGTGGACCCGATGTGGGGTGGGCCCCCTCCCCCCCCCACATGCCAGCCAGTTTTCTTTTATGTTTACATTTTCTTTTACTTTTTCACTCTTTCAACTCTCTCTTTTCCTTTTTGTTCTCTCTGTGTGTGGTTTTGGGTCTCGTTCTGCATTTAGAACTGTGAGTGGGTAAGAACCCACAAACCCAACCCTGCTTTGCCCTGTAACAGAACTACCTCGTTCTTATCATATCTCTTTAGGAAAGAAGAACCAATTGTCTCTGGCTCACCACTTTGATGCCAGAGTCTCACAGCCATTCTTAGTAAATATCTGAGGTGTTTGGTTACCTTCTAGCAGGCCCTGCCCCGAAGGAAGTAGATGCACCAGCTTCAGCCGTTTCTGTGGCTCAAGTAACCTGTGTGTATACCCCACACTTGCTGTGTGCTTCTTTTTGCAGAGAAAAGCAATGTTCTGGAAGATTCTGGCTTGCACTCTTCTTTGATTCTAGTGACTTAGAGATTATATAAGTATGAATCAGCTCACTACGGTCAATTTCTTGCTTTCCTTCATTGAACGAAGACTTGCTCTGTGGTGAGTGTGTGTGTGTGTGTGGTAAGTGGAACAGATTTTCTGGAGAGAAAGACCCGCAGAGCCAGGGTAGCAAGCACTATATCATCCATCCATTCATTTCCGAGTGCCTACTGTGTGCATGGGTGTGTGTGTTGCTGGA